TTTTTTTTTTTTTTTTTTTTAAGAAAGCCGTTGAGTATTGAACTTGAATTTGAGAATATAAATTTTATATAAAATACAACTGGTGCGATAGAATTTCTACTCGGAAAATTGAAGGAGGAAACTAAAGAAATAAAAAATCTTGTAAAAATTTCTGTGAAGATATGAAAAAAATAGATAGTATCACTTTCTTTGAATTATGGTATATCACATCATTCAGAAGGAAAAGATATAAATACTTAGGAGCAGTAGTACAGTTCCTTTTTCTTTATAAAAAATTTTTCTTTTCTCGAATAATCAAAAGAAAGATGAACTGAAAGGAAAACTGAATAAAAGAATACGTCTAAACATTAACTGATTTTTTTTTAAATTCTTAGAAAAACATTCTGAAGTTATGGATGTAGGCGATATCAATAACAAGAGTTAACACGGTGGTTTAAAGCAAACGCAAGCTCCATAAAAGACAAAAAGAAGAACAAAATAATGAAAGATAGAAATGAAACTGGTGCTTCGACGATGTCACGCGCGTTTACGTGGTGCGTTGCACCTTATCTCGTGTCCTAGTTACATCATCGTACACAGGTCTTACACAGTTTCGATTGAAAGGAACTAACAAACGTCGATGATCAAATTACGATACAATTACACCGGTAAAACCATTATGTTTTATTTTACGATGTACAATCATAATAAATTTTCCGAGTTCAGCTCATTAAAAAGTTATTGAATATATATATTTTATATTGAAATTAGTACGTAAGTTGAAAAAGTTTTAGATTCCAATTAAACTGTAATAATAGAACGACTGCCAATAGGAGGTAGAGGTTTGCTCCTGAAAAGAAGACTCTCCTTCAATACTTCTTTCAATACCTTTCATTTTCTTATTGATTATTTTTAAATACCTGCAGGCTTCATGAAAAATTTGTCTAACTTCCTCCAGCATCTGTTTGTAAGTTGCAAGATCCGTGGCTTTTTCTTGTTGCACGGTATCTAATCTAGTTTTTAACACGAGGCATTCTTCTTCCAATAATTCCATTCTATGTTATATACATTAAAAATTTTTGAATAATCTTTATTCACATTTATGTGGGTTTTTAAAACTTACTTAAGTCGCATTTGTTCAATATCCATTTGTTTATCATTAGCTTTCGATAATTTTGGTAATTTCGTTCTATATCCAGTGTCAATTTTGACAATCCCTATTCTTTCCGTCTCTAATTTTCGTATCTTTAATTCTAACTTCGCCGATTTGTTTCTTTCATTACGTAAGGTATTCTATGTATAATTAGAATGTAATTAGAAATTCAAATAATAAAAAAAATAGTACAGTACTATGTATAGACTTATATAGTATATAATAGACTTACAGAAAGAATATCAGTATCATTTCTTTCTTTATCTAGGCGCCTGTTGAGTATTGTTATTAACTTCAAAAGTCTCTCCCTTTCAGCTTCAGCAGCAAGAGCCAAAATTACATATTCGTTAGGTTCGCATGTACTTCGAACACTATGAGGAAGGCTATCATGGCTTAAATTATTTAAAAATTCTTCAGGCTGTGCAATTTTTCGGGATTTAATCTCCCATATGTTTGGAATTGTTCCATTTCTACAATTAATGATCCAGAATTTATTTGTATTCAAGTTTTCCCTAATAATAAAATACCTCAATTTATCTATTTCAATTTCACGTTCTTCTAATCTTCTGCGCAGTCGATGAATTTGAAGCTGCGCCGCTTGTAAATCGTTCTTTAAATTCGTGCACTCACGTTCAGTCTTCTCTGCTCTATTTTTCATATCTGTCTCGCGTTCTTCGTGTTTTATCTCAGTAATTTTAAGCCGATTCTACGAATTTGGGATTCATTAAACTTAAGAGAAATGATCAATTTTAGCATTGATAAAATAAATACATACATTAAGTGTTTCGATTAAATGATCATCGTGAGATCTTTTTTCATTTAACGATGCGATATTTCCTTTCGCGACGTTCAATTCATGCTCCAACACTTTTATCCTTGCCTTCGAAGCTTCTAGCTTCCTCTTGTATCCCTCAATGACGACTTCCGTTTGTCGAAGCTGCTTTGCCGAATCTTCAATTTGTCTCCGTCTCTCTTTTTCAACATTTCGAAGATTTTCTAAATTTTTTCGTTCTGCAGATGCTAATGAAAGATACATCTTAAAATAAATATGATAAATAGCTACGGCATTTTGTTTTAATACCGATAGACGTTGTTTGCGTTCCTTCGTATTCCGACAATCTTGATTGTAGTTCCGTTATTTTTTGTTGTAGTAGATAAATCTGTTCAGCTCTCCCTCGCCATCCGGATTGATTCAATAAATTACTCAAATTCACGTTTTCACCAATTTCACTGTACAGTAACTATATTTGCAGCTTTAAAAATTGTGCATTGCATACATATGTGTATGTGTATATGCATATATTTTCTTTCTTTTATATTTATAATTTTATATTATATTAAAAATGTTTTAAATAAAATAATACCTTATGCAACTTATTAATCTCCTGTTTAAGACTGGCACAAGTATTTTTGGATTCGTACAGTTTTATTTGTGTCTGTTGTAATTTTTCAACCAATTGTTTGATTTGATCCTCGTCTTCCTTCAGCTGATTACTCTTGGTACCTTTGTTAAGGATACCATCCTGTATCTCGATCATAATATGATGGAAGAAAGCAACAGTATAAGAATGCCATGTACAATTGAAAATTTTTTAATATAACTCACTCTCTTGAGAGCAGGCATCAGTTTTTAAACGTCTACTTTCGTGCCGTTCATCTTCTAATTCTGTTTCTTTGTTAGTTAAATGAACTTCTAAATTTTTGCACTTAGATTTAAGCACTTCAATCTCAGCTATTTGTTCTCTACATTTTTTGCTAAGTTCGATAATCTTTGCAGTTGCTATTTCATTAGGTTTCCCTAAAATTTGCACCGTTTCTGTGATTCCTTTTTTTTTCTTAATTTTGTCTTCCATCTCTTCAAGTGTCCGACGCAAACAACCATTTTCAGCGATTAAATCCTATTATTTCACATTTTTAATTTCTCTTTATAATGAAATCAGTTTTTTTCTTTTACATTTGATACATTCTATAAATATATTTAATACATTCTACAAAAATGACAAATTCTATAAACTACATTTACCCTAATTACCTGAATACGGTTCCTTAAAAATAAATTTAATTCTTTTGGAAAGATAATGTGATCAGGTAAATTCTCCTAAGATACATTAAAAATATCAATTCTTTTTACATTTATCTTACAAATATTATTAATTTATAAAATAATTACTGCGGCAAATTGAAAAATAATACCTCTGTTAATTCTTTGATCCATGGAATCGTTGCATCAAACTCTAAAGAATTATTTGTCTCATTTTGTAATGTTTTATACATTATTTTTGATTTAGACATCTTTTCCAAAATTTGTCAAAACTTATTTGTAATCTCCCTATACTAAAAATTATATCTATAATTCTCAATTATAGTATGCAGTATTAAAATAACTATAAAAAATTAACTATGTTGTTTTTTATTATTAACTATATACAAAATTTTTAGTAACCTATTTTTATATAAACATATGAAGTTGAACTTTTGTTATGATAAATATAATGATTTTATTTCGAAATAAGTGATAATTTCAAGTACATTAGGTTAATAAAATAAATAAATTATACAATTATTCTAGTAGATAAAGCTTTTATCTATATTATGCAACATGTAAGTCTTTACAAATATGATTACATAAAAAACTTAATCTTAAATGTTAAAATAGACAAAATTTAAACATTTATTTAATAATTATACTTTTGCTCATATGTTTTGTCTTCACTTGTTGCCTGCATACTTCTGATTATTTCTGTTCTTTCCACCTGATAATTTTCCTCCTTTTTGCAGAGCATGCAATTTGAAGTTTTTTGCAACACCTACTTTTTTATTTACTCCAGAATATTGCACATTTATCCTTCTTTCATTAAGAAATGAATGGTGCAATGAAAGTGCTTTCTGTTATTAAAAAATAATAACAAGTAATTAAATATACTAATGTTTAATTCTAATACTCAAAATAAACAAATTATTAATTACTACCTCGTAATCTATACTATTGGCCAATTCTACATAACCAAATCCACGTCCTGTATTTGTATCTTTCCTTGGTATCCTGATATCAATGACTTTACTGACCTTAGTCAAGAAGTGTTTTTTAAGTTCCTCATTGGTAGTCCTAAAATATAAGGATTTAGTTATTAGAATGAATAGAATAAATAAAATGAATATAAGAATATATATGTTTAACGTAAAAAAAATAATATATTTACCTATATGATAAATTTCCTACAAAAAGAACATATCTTTTCTTCTTGCTTTCTTTTTCTACATTTGTAGGTGCCTCTTTTTCTTTCTGTACATTTTTATTTTTTATTTTATTGTTTTTATTTTGATTATTATTCTTATTTTCATCATCATCATCATCATCATCATCATCCTCATCTTCTTCATCCTCCTCCTCCTCCTCCTCCTCATCATCATCTTCTTCATCCACATTCTCCTCCTCCACCTCCTCCTCCTCCTCTTCCTCTTCCTCCTCATCTTCATCTTCATCTTCATCTTCGTCTTTTTCTACATAACTTTCATCATCATCCTCACTCAATTCATCATTCATCTTTATGTTTTTATTTTTAATATCATTATCATCGTCGTTGTCGTCGTCATCATCATCATCATCATCATCATCCTTTTCATTTCTCCTTTTTTCCTTTAAAAGTACTTTATTTTGTTTAACATCTTTCTTTTTATCCTCTCTATTTGACTTAGCTTTCACTTTCCTTTGCAAATTTTTATTCTGTTCAGCATTTTGAGCTTTTCCTTTTTTTACAATTTCTAATATTTTCTCATTTTTTTCTTTTCCTATCTGCCTTTTTGGCACATTTTCCTCTTCCTCTTTCTCTGTAAGTAATCTTTTCTTAAGTGCTGCTAATTTCCTCTTAGCACTTCTTGAGCATTCTTTTCGATTTTCTATTAATTCAATTTTCTTTTTTATCTGTTCAACTGATAAATGAAGCCCTATTGAATGTCTATTTTTTGCACGTTTCTCACGAAAAGCTTGTCTCTTTTCCAATAGTTTCAAATTACTTAATGTTTGCCTCTTACTTTTTTGTGCATTCTTTTCATTTATTTCTTTTTTATTAGAATTTTGAACAATTTCTAATTTATTAATTTTCTTTTCATTTTTAAACTTCTTAGGTAAATTTTTTTTCACTTGTTCATTTAATTGACCATTTTGTATAGTTTCATGTACTGTCTTTTTCTTTTTAAGATTTTTATTAAAATTCACTGGTATATCTGTTTTTTTCTCAGTGGTCTCAGACTCACTTGCTGATCGTTTTTTAATATTTTTACCCATTTTTGCTTTAATATTTACGATATAAATACTAATTTGCTGTAAATGAAAAATAGACACGTGAAAAGTACAATCATATTTTGCGAATGAAATTTTCGTGAAGTATAGAAACAAATTTAATCTGTATGGTGTGTATGATTATCTATTAAATATATTTATATATATATATATTTATATTTAATTAAAATATAATATATGTATTCACTATTTCAACAAAATATACATATAAATAGTTAGACATAATTGCAATTAAACTTGAAATTACTATTTCTAATCTATTTAATTTTTAATTTATTTCAACTAAACATATCGATATTCAATAATTATTTTGATTAAAATAACACATAAAACAAAAAATACATACTTTATTAATTCTATAAAATTAAATTAACATACCTTTCTAAACGTGGTCAAAGTGAAACTTTTAAGGTTAACTTCACCACGCGTCTATGCTTATGCTCATCTGACTTAAAATGTCCAATTCACAT